AAAGAAGTGCAGTTGTCGCATTTTTCGCTTACCTTAGCTACATTTGTCGATTATTATTTTAGATTAGCAAGAAGGAGCCGGAAGTGTGTAATGCAACAGGCTTATCGTCTTTGCAAAAAATTTCAAGCTTTAATGAGTAAATTTGTCTTTTTTAAAATTATAGCAGTTACTCGTTTTTCTGTTTGCCTTTGTCGTAATTTTCAGAGAAAATGTTTTGGAAAGAGCAAAAAATTGTTTTCTTGTTTATTTAAACGACATCGAGTAGTCGTCAATGGACCAGAAACTTTATCTGCATAAATGAAACCTGAATAATTCTCACTTTGCTACTGAGAAATTGAATCCTTAAGAAAGCAATTTAATAGACAATTTTTCATGAATACTCTTACAGACGCTCTCCTCGCCGACCACCTCGACCACCTCCACTCCAAAGACCGAAAACAGAATTAGTTAAAGATTATGAGGTACAGTTTTGAAACTGAACTATAAGTGTTTTGTTTCATGAGAAACATAAATTTCTTTCATGCCGTTACTGATGACAGTAACGTTGACTGAAAAAAAAAAATATCTATTACAATTCTTAAAAGTTTTAACATAACTTTGTTCTATTTAAGCAAAGCAATATTGCTAAAATTGAAAGATAGAAGATGCTTATCTTCTTAAAAGCAGTGTTTGGGCTTAACAAAGTTATCAGTAACGGCATGAAGAATATTTTCTGAAGTTGGCAGTATCAAAAAGAGTGCTGTCATTGTTTTCTGCAAAGACATTTACTTTTACTTCTTTTGTCGAGTAGTATTTTAGAACGGAATAATCAAACATGAGGTGTGTGATAAAAAAAACTCGCCAAATTTCTCAAATGCTCACAGGTAAATCTGTTTTTTTTTCTCACTGAAACTTTTGCAATAATCTTTTACCTGTTTTTTTTTTTTTGATCAATTTTTTTTTATATTTTTAACAGAACAATTAAGAGTGCATAAAAAGTCTTCTTGTTTTGCGACGTGGGTTACTTGACTGTACCAAAAACTCTCAGATAAGCTGAATAAACAAACATTCAGTAGCCTTTAGTTTTTAATCAAGAAAATTAAATTTTGGAGAAGCAGTTTGTCGAACAATTCACTTTGAATACTTTTGTAGATGTCCTTCTGGCCGTCCACCTTTGTGCCATAAGCCGAGCAATATACCAAATGTTGAGCATAAGGTACAATTTTTGAAGCGTAACTATAAATGTTTGTCATAAAATACGCTTTATTTATTGTGCTGTTATTGCAAAATCTTTGAGTGACAAAACTCTGTGTATATGACGTTCCTGAAAAATTCTAAAATATTTTTTTTTTTTTTTAATTTGCGCAATGTCATGGTAATAATATTAGTTAAAATATGAATCATTAAAATTAAAAGGTTTGTCGTGTTTGCATACTACAACAGCATTCAAATCTTCTACATATTTCGGACAGTCATAGATGTGTAAAAAATGTGCCAATTTGAGTTTTGAAAAATATGCTTTTAGTACAACAATATAAGCTCCTTAAAAAATTGAAAAATTAAGAATGCTATTTAAAAAAAATGCGAAATAAAACGCAAACCTGTAGTAAGAAATTACCAGGTATTAAGAGATAAAAGTTGCATCTAATACCTACGTCCAGCTGGCTCTTTTTTTTAAAAAAAAAACATTCTGTTCAATATTTTACAGTACATTGCTAAGCATTTAAATTATTTGAAAGCCATGTTACTGTAATCACTCAGTGCTGACAAACTTCTACTGTCTGAAGACTAAAAGTTAACAAACATTTTTTGTTTACAGCAATTAGCATCTCGGTCACCAGAAACTGCGAATTTCGCCGGACAGTCAACACCAACGTCAAGCGCTTTCAAAAAGAAGTTGGAGTAAGTTTTTGCAATTTTTTCTTAGTAATGTCCCTTCTTTGTAACACACTTTCGTGGTGGTACGATTGATCTTTTAGCAAAAAAAGTCGTTCTCCGAAAAAGTTGACCGTTTAAGAAAAAGTAAGGAAAGTTATTGATATTCAAGGCTCATGAATCAAATTTAGGCTTGCCGTGTGTGCAAACTACAATCATCGCCGTCCGGATAATTCAAGACCTCGCGAAATAACTGCCGAAAACATAGACCCTTCTTTTCGCGACAAAATGCGAATATCATCTTAAGATGAAAATAATACTGCTTGTCAGCGGTATTCCCAGTATGAAGAATAATCGTAACGGCAAAAGAGAGAGAGAGATGCGAGTTTTTACATCATTTTTATTTAACAGCTTCTTTGAGAAGGCTGTTATATTGAGATTAAACTAATTGTAGGCTACAGAAAATGGCTTTTTAACGACATCTCAGAGAAGTCGAATCTGTGCTGTGCTCAGTAAATAAAGCTCTCAATCCACAGTTTTTTGAGCCATTAGAAAATTTGAGTTTTTCATACGAAATTGCTGTCAAGCATACTATAAAAAGCATTCTGTACGAAACTACAATAATTATGAGAGCTTTTCAAAAATTATTCGTTCTTTCTCTTTCTTAGAAAGGGGGAAATCGCCTACGCCTAAGAATTGATATAAAATCTTTTTACCAAGTTGCCAACGGCGGCTTTGGATTCTTCAATTTTGGTGGAAATCTGCGGGTATTCTAACACCATTCAATTCCCAAAATTTGTATCTATCGAACTATCGATCTATTGCTATCCCATAATGACCTATTGCGCCGTTGTCGAGATATTTGCCGAAATGTGACGTCAAAGCTTATTTTTAACTTGCTATTTTTCTGTAACTTTGTATAGAAATTTGAGAATCTTTTAATCATACGACTTTTTCCGTTCTTTGCGTGTACGTTCCTTGAAGTGTGTTTCTCAGAAAAATGAAATTTAATTGGGAGGTTTGTCAAGCTTTTTTTTTTTGCAAATTAACTTTTTGTCGAGGGAAGCTTTTACAAAGTGTGTGGGCATACAGCTGAACTGACTGGTTCTATACGCCTACCAATAAACCTTAATTTATTTTCTTTCCTGTTGTTAGGTATTTTTAGACTTTTATTAATTTATATAACGGTTGTCCTGTCCATATTACGGTTATATATATTAGACGCTACTATATATTGTATTACATATTATATATATCTCAAAATTTTATTAAATTTTACTGATTAGTAGAGTATAGGATAGTCTGGAAAAAGCCGAAAAAAAACTGGAAATGGGAATTCCTCGCCAAGTTACACGGCCTCAAAGTTGCAACTTTGCCAGGTTGCCAACTGGCACGCCTATCCTTGCAGACTTGTAATTTAGTTCATTTAAAATTGCCATAGTCTGAACTTTTGAATGCACATTTAATTTTTTAATTTTGTTAAAAAATAAAAAAATGGGAAAAAAATTTGCACAAAATATATCTTTTTTAAAAAATTCAAAACTTCGTTTCTTTTGGTTTGTTTGAAATTTTGTTTTACTGTATTTATGTGATTTTTTAACAGAAATGGAAGAAATAAATATGTATTTAAAAGTTCAGGACATGGTTATAGCAAATCTAATGATCAAAAGAGCATTAAGCTCTGTTTAAAACGAGCTGAATTACGAGTCTGCAAAGATAGGCATGTCAAGTAAAAACCTGGCAAATTTTGCAATTTTTGGCATCGAATGGCCCATTATATGTCATATATTATGTTTTGTATATAATATATAATATATAATATATAATATATAATAT